GTTATGACAGTTCTGTTGCAAACAACATTACTGTAGAGGGGCAAAATGATCATTTATCCAGAAATAACTGTAAAATAGTTTTTTTCAATAACACAAACCATACAACCAACTATTTTATCTGGATCAACTACTGATCAACAACTTACCTGGATCAAATTCTTATCAACAACTTATGAATAAGCTTTAGCCGCCCGAAACAGACCTAAAGTCAAACATGAAACACTAACATAAAATAGAAATGGAGATATGGAGGCATGCTTTTGTATGTATAACTTTTTCTAATTTTTGGGCTTGTTTCACCAAGCTCAATTTTTTTAAGAGTATTTTGTCTTCCATATAGCGAAAGTGGTTCTTCCAAATGCTGTTATTCGAGTCCGGAGCCCCGTCCCCATATAATCACAGTACGTTTTCCGGTGCAAGACTTTGTTCGGGGTATGCATCCAACCTCCGGCGATGAGCCCGCCGCGTTCCCCGAACGGCTCCGGCCACCACCATCCGAAAGTACTAACAGACCTAAGCACCGACGCCTTTGCCCTCTGCACGCGTTTTTTGTCCCTCCGCGACGTCTCTAACCTGGCCATGTCCTCAAAGTCTCTCCGCCTCCTCGCCTATTCCGACGCCGTTTGGTTTCGCCTTCTCCAGTACCAGACAAACCCTTCTCCTATTCGGTATCTTTACTCCCAGTTTTTGTTGGTCTTTTATGATGGTCAGTGCTTGGGATTAATAGGGAGCGATGGCCAAATTATTGCATGTCTTCTGGAGCTGGAGGAGCTAGGGAAGAGTATCTATCGAGATTCACTGCAATGCGGCAGTTTAAATTCTGTGATCCTGCCATTGTTCATTTATGGGCTATGCCTGTTCCACCGACGCAAATTTTGTTGGCTAAAAATGAGATCTGGGTCGACCAGGTGAATTGTAATGGAATTTTCTTTGTTCGTAACAACGAAAAATGACTGAATTTCTTAGGGTTTTTTTCTGACCTGAAGCTATAATGTGAATAATGGTAGGATAATGTAACGACTAAATTTTTATATTATACAAGGTTATACTTGTGTTTTTTTAAAATTTATGAGGGTAAGAGAACCACCGAGTTCCTCTATTGTTATGGAGATGCTAATATAGCTGTTACTGTTAGTTAGGGAAGTGAAGACCTGATAGCGTGTAAAGATTAACTCGTGTGAATTTGTTCCAATATCTTAGGATGCTTCCGATGCTTTTAGTCATGGAAATTGCATTTCATTGTAACTAAATGAATAATTGCGATATTAGTTACACTTGCCTTAAAAGTGCTTCTACTGTGATATAAAGAATTAGTTTTCTGCAATAATCTTGATCTTATTTGGGAAATATAAACTTTGGTAATTATGATCTTATTTGATTTTTTTGATAAAGAAGGTGCTGATAAGCTTCTGGTTGTCTTTTGGTTAATGAGATATTTAAAATATTTTTGAGGTGGCACGTCAAAGAAAGGTGTTCTAGGTTGTCTCGAATGCTATAAAGCCTTCTATCCAATGGTTTAATAATTGGATATGATGTTGCATGTCATTTGTCTTCTATGCAATTTTGTTTGGAGTATGCGTTACTTAAATGGCTTCCACTTCAACATATGTGAATTGAAAATGGATTTTTTTTTT